CGAAGGAGACTCCCCGCAGCTCGGGTCTCGGTGAGGGCAGGGTCGGCACTGCTGGGCAGCGCCAGTGCCGCCCGGGTTTCTGCAAGAAGGGGCCACAGCAGCTGAGCCCAGCCTGGCAGGAGAAGCGGCACCCAAGGCCGCGGGAGCTGAGAGCGGGGCGGGCAGCGGGGCAGGGCGCTTGGCGGCCCTAAGGCCAGCAGCTGCTCACGCAAGAGGGCTTCTCTACTGGGGGGGCGTGAAGGGGCCAGGTTGGGGGCCGGGGCTGAGCGGGGCGTTCGGGAGGCCCGGGCTGGCCCCTGCAGAGCGGCGGTGACCCTGCGGGGAAGCAGGACCAGGGCTCTCGCCACCACGAGTCAGCGGCCGCCCAGGAGAGGGGCACGGCGGGCTGGCCGACGGGGAGCCACCAGGCCCGAGCCGAAGGCACCGCCGGAGCAGCGACCTCCCGGGCCCTCGCCGCGGCGGGGTGCTCGGGCCGGGGCTGAGCGGGGCCCCGCTTCCCCTGCTGGTGTTGATTGCTACTCCGTCGTTGCGTTTTACTTTTCGAGCAGCCTGGGTCAGCACATCATCTGCCACCCGAGCCGTGTGTAAAGGCACTCATTGAGCGGTCTTCACTGGGTCTCCACAGCTTTGTCATCTTGCAAAACTGAAAGCTCTTTAAATGCAGACGTCCCCAGCCTGCCCCCTCCCAGCCCTTGGCCACCTGTACTTTAGTCTCCGTCACTGGGTTGGACTGCTTCAGGTAGCTGGTAAATGGATGCACATCGACTGTTGCACCTTTCAGTTCTGACAGGTCCCTTTGGAACTTCATTTTCTGTCTCTGTCCAAGCTCCTGCTGTGCCCATCGTGCTTCCCACTTGGGTCAGTGTCTTTATGACCATGACTTGATAGACGTCTTTATCAGATAAATTATTTAGTTACATTTCTTTACTCTTCCCGGGTCCTTTCTTTTGAAATACATGACTGGGTCTCCTTGGTCTGCTTGACCCTGTTCTTGTGTCTGGCATAACAGCACACGCTGTCTCTAGGTCTTCCAGGATTGAGCCGTGTAGGGGGATGAACCTTACAGTTTAACAATGCCCCAGCCCTAGGTTGTCATTGGAACCTTTGTGGCTTTTTTTCTTGACTGCCTAGTTGTAGAGGATGCTTTTTAGGCTTTCTAAAGTTTCAGAGCCCCGGGGCTGAGATAGTAGGTCCAGGGGGCCTCCAGCTTCCCCGCCCCTTGTATGGGTAGTCGGAGCCAGTTGGTATCAGAGGGCACAGACCTGGCAGTGAGATGGCTCTTGCACTGGACCCACAGTGCATATCCTGTGTGTTGTTTTATGTCTGACTGACTCAGCTGTTCATCCATGTCATAGCATGTGTCAGAATTTCTTACCTTTTGGTTTTTTTTAAAGATTCTCATTTCCTTAAAACAGTATTTCTGAGCTTCCTCAAAGTGAAGATTGCAAAAAAATTAACACCTTGATTTGTTGAACCTTCAACAGTGTGGCCTCGTGTCCCGTGTCCACTGTGCCTGTGAAACCTCAAAGTGCAGATGCTGACTCTGTTCCACCTCACTGAACAGAGCAGACCTGAAGCTTAATCAAGCAAAGCGGTTGTACATGCCACTCACATTAGAAAAGCAGCATTGGCCTGCCTGGTGGCCTAGGGGTTATATCCCAGTGATCCCCTCTACTGTCTGAGTTGGATCCCAATTCCCAGCCAGGGAGCTGACTCACATGGCGCAGCAGACCTCTCCTGTCTGGCCTGCTGCTCCCCTCAGCAGTGTGTTTCAGTAGAGCTGTCTGTTCTGGTCCCCACTCTATCTCTGGTGAATCCTCTTACCCCTGTACCTCTGGTTTACATGCCAGTTTTCTATATAAAATAAATAAATAAATAAAATCTTAGAAAAAGATAGTTGGATGTAGGAAGTCAGGTGGCTTAGATAACTCAGTCTCAAACCCAAGGGCGAATTACCACTTGTATACCTTAGTCAAGATGAGAAGAATGCAGACATATTTAATGTCCAAGCCAACCGATATCAGGGAATATCCATGAACACTCCCAATAATATTTGGGAGAAGAAAACAAAGTTCTAGGAAGAACAGACTCAATGGATAGATGCCATCTTGTCATGTGACTCCAGATTGCTCTCTTATAAATGGCTGTGCCTTAAGAAAAAAAGTTCTTGTATCCAAAACAAAAGAATACACATACCCAAGAAGCCCCACAAGATCACACGCTCTAAGTAAGGATGGAAATTAAACTACACATATAACCAAAAAGGACTTCCACAAACCAAAACCATGTTCCCCCAACAGATACATACTCCCAAAGAAAATTCAATAAAGGCAAAACCAGATTCCCTAGACTATACACAAATCCATAAAAATGACTCCACAAGGCCAAAGTCAGGCCTCCTAAATTAGTGGCCAAATCCATATCTGTCACAACAAAACAAAACCTCAGCCTCTAACTAAAACTGTCCCTTTTCTTTTATTGCACCAAAATTAATGCAAGGTACTTAAGGCAGTCAGCACTTCAGGCAAGACACAGGAGGCCTCTGTAAGTTCCCCCATAGGGCTAGATAGCCGTGAGTGGTGGACATATTGCAGTGGGCACTGCCCACCTAAAAGTTGGAGCATGGATTAGCACACCATTCTTCCTGGTCAGGAAACCAGAAAACTGTTCCTGGGCAAATGGTTTAAAAATGTCATTGAAAGGGCCCTCCCTCCCTGGTGGTGTAACGGGTTAAAGTGCAGCACTATGAAGCTGTGCACAGCCACGTAGTACAAGTTCAATTCCCGGCCAGGGAGCTGACCCACATGGCACAGCAGACCTCTCCTGTCTCCCTGTATTTCAGTGGATCCACCTGTTCTGCTCCCCACCCTGTCTCTGGTGAATCTGCTCACCACCTCCCCCAGTCCCCCCTCCTCTGGCTTACACCCTAGCTCTTATAGGCATAAATAAATAGAACAAATCTTTAAAAAGTATATTGAAGGCTGGCCCTCCCTGGTGGCGCAGTGGGTTAAAACACAGCACTAAGAAGCTTAAGCCACTTCGGCAGGAGTTCGATCCACATGGCTCAGCAGACCTCTCCTGATCCACCCGCTGCTCCCCTCAGCAGTGTACTTCGTCGGTCTGCCTGTTCTGCTCCCTGCTCTGTCTGGTGAATCCTCTCACCCTCCGCATCTCTGGCCTGCATCCCAGTTCTGTATGAATAAATAAATAAATCTTTAAAATATAT